CTATTCGATTTCTTCAATCCATAATAATCTCTGTTGTTTGGTTGTGCATAAGTTTGAATTGTTATTATTGGTCTCTTAAACCTCTCCAAATCAACTTTTCTTTCCTTCTGCACCACCTTGAAATCTACTTCAGCCTTTTCCTTCATTTCCTTCAACTTTCTCTGATATTCTTCCAGCTCCTTTTACTTCCTAATTCTCTTTTCCTGATTCCTCTTCTCTCTTTCTTTCCATTCTGCCATCACCTTTGTATTGTCATCTGCTTCTTCAAGTTCATGTTCATAGGCCAAATAGTCATTTTCCTCCCTAATCAACTCTGCTTGCAACTCCTCTTGCAACTTCTCAGCATTCTTATCCAATTCCATGTATTCCTCATTATCCTCCAGCTTCTGAGTTGGTTTCTTGACTGTTTTCGTTGTTGCTTTCTCTGTTCCTGTTTTCTCCTTCTCCATTTCATTTTTCATTACCTGAACTTTCTTAAGAACCATCCAAATTACGACTGATGCAACTGCTGCTACCACAGCAGTAATGATTCCCAGTACCATGAAGAAGACATAATCACTCTTTATCTTCATAAGGTTCCACAATATTTTTTAATTTATCTAAAATTGATTGGTTGAAACACATTACCCGTTTGAGTTTATATTGAGATTCAATTGGTTAGTCAACTAGGCGCATCTTGAATAATGAGCTGATCAATATTACGCCTTATATTCTCAAAATGTCGAGTACTTGAAAATAATGCAAATTTTGCCCATTAATTTCTGACTAATAAATTCACTAAAAGACAAAGAAGAATGAACTGATTGAGTGCTATCTCGTAACAAACTGGAATGATGATTATGATTGGTGTTGCGGATTCGTGAAGTTAATGCCCTTCTGACCAGTTATCTACCACTCGTTCATATTGTAATATTTGATAAATGTGTCTGTACAGTTATTCTAGCACTATATTCGGTCAGTCAATTTGTCCTAACATTCTTTTCCTAATTTAACACATCCCCAATTCAACGAATGGTAGAGGGTGTGAAATTCACAGT